CCCAAAAGTTTACAGTCATCTCACTGTCTTGGTGATTCAATTACTTTGTGGTTCCTTGCTTGCTTCCTCTATAAAAGCTCACGTGGTCAACAGGCCACTGTGATTGCTCCCTGTGTGGCGAAACCAGGCTACCCTTAGGCTTTTTGTTCTGGCTGTGAGCTCTGCAGAGCAGGGGACACCACACCTGTGTATTCCCTGCATCCCCTGCAGCCACATATTCCTCCTGATTGGGCCCAGTAGCACTCGGTGCTTGCAATGAGAGCTGGTGGGACAGTGCAGCTCTGCACCCAGCTTCGGGTGGAGTATGTTACAGATATGTCCAGTACACAGAAAACTAAAATGCTTGCCTTCAGCGGGCAGGTTTGTGCTCCTTTGTCCACACAGATCCACGAAGTCCCGTCCAGGATTAGGCCGGTGCTGCTTAGCCTTCTGCTTACAAATTGGCATTTTGGCATAAGCTGTCCTCAGCAGCACACACCAGGGATGAGGAGCTGAAATCTCAGCTGATAGATGGGAGGACTGAGACCTCGGCAAGGAAGGAGAAGGGTCTGTGCATCTCTCCCTGTGAGGATGTTAAAAGGACAACGTACCAAGCTTTCTGCTTTATCCTTACCTGAAGGATGGGAGGGAGTTGCCCCCACTTGCTTTAGTGGGGGTGATCCTTCCTTCAGTCAGAAACAAAAGCTGCAGCATTTGGGTTACTGTCGTTATTTTGCTTTGTGTGTCGTAGAAAAACCTGTTTTGTTGCAACTTCTTGCTCCACACTAGTTCTGTGTTCAAAATCCTGAAGAGCTATCATGCATGCATTGCATTTTTTATGTGCTGGCGCATGCAAAGCCGGATGAAAGAATGTATAGCTAATATCTTGCATTTGGTTTGCTGGATAGGTCAAGTTTGAAGCTTCAGGGACTGAAATTTATGCTTGATTTGATGCACATGAGTAAGCCTATTGAATTCAAAGTTCAGCATCTGTGCAAGGCTTCAAGACTAGGGACTTGCTTTGTAAAGAGGATGATGTTTTCCTGTTGCACTGCTAGGAATTAGAGAAGGCTTTGCTTTTGTTATCTTTTTCTTATTCTAGTCTGAAAAAGAAACAGCTGCCAGAGAAATCTGTGGATGTGACGTGTTTCAAGAACCTCTCAAACAGTTTATGTTTGTAAGGGAAGTGAGAACTGAAAACCACCTCATCTTCTAGCACAAATATTTGGAAATATCATTAATATGTTACTGTAATGGGATAATTATTAAATGCTTTGGTACTTAATGTCACATCATGATGGAATCACTTGATTACATTTTAAAGCACTTTTATTATAATTGCTGTGATTCTAGAGAATACACATGGTTTTACAGCATTGATTTTAAAGACTTACACGAATTTTTAAACTTAGCAGATATAAACCTTTGGAGAATGGCCAGTACTCTTGAATGTGCTGTATACACTCTAAGGAGTATTTAACTACATCTTTTGGACCTTGGTTGCTAGTAATTAACATTTCTTCTAAACTTTCAATGATCCGTACTTTTTTTCAGTTATAGCTGCAGGTTTGTTTGTTGAAAATAGGCTCAAATGTTCTGTAGGTGCGTGTGGCAGTGGGGACCAGAATGAAAGTGATATTCATGCTCCAGGCAACTGGTAACATCTGATTGTTAATAGTCTACATGAATAGCCAGGATTGGCCTAAGTGGCTACTAGGAGCACAACTGATACTCCAGCCAGAAAAGTTTATTTTCCAAGTCACTTTCAAAGAAAATACTCCATGTTACTGCATCTGTGTGTTCATTAACAACAGCAACTGGTTGCATTGAGTAATGGCATCTTTGGCTAATGAGCAGAGGTCTAAGGAACACTGGTTGGTTCTTGTTGTTGTCTGTTTGTCTTTGTGATCCTCTGAATAAACTGGCTTATGTCTGACACATTCAGAAGTTGTGCCTTGGAACGTCAGGAAACTGTCTTCCAGACCTCTGTTCAGTCAAGTCACTGTCATATATGATGGCTTTTCTTGGTTAGCTTAGTCTGTGATGTCCGTAAGACCTGAAATCATTGAGTTTGGATGCTCATCATGAGGTAAGAATGGAAATTAGAATTTGTTTTGCTCAGGGCAACTGCTCACTATGGCTGTGTTAATGGGTTCCAAGGCTTGCAGTCTGTGAGCAGTCCTTGTGTCTGGGTGCCCAGCTGTGGAAGACATGGCTGTAGCCTCTGCAGTGACTAGCCAGGTCAAAGCAGAGACTAGCCTCTGAAGCAGAGAGGCAGAGTGGCTGGGGGTGCCCTGAGGAGAAATCCTCCTTGGAAAGGTTGGCTAACAGTGAGCTAACAAATGCACCTGGAAGTTCAAGGAGAAAACTCGGGACAGAGCCATGACAGGGAGAGGAAAAATTGTTTGGGAACTGGAGTCCAGGTTCAACTGCTAAAATTTCCTCTTTCCTCAGAGATGTACCCTGAAGCAAGGGACTAAAATAGAGTTGGATGTGTTCCAGGCTCTGTAGTGAGGTAAAT